TCCGACTAAAAAAACAAGCTGAAAATGACGGATTATAAAATAAGCGAACAGGACCACTAATTATATACTATAAATATTATATTTTCTTGCATATATTTGGTCAAAGTTAAAAGTGTTTGACTTCTCACGAAACGAGAACCACACTTATTTTGAAACGGATGAAGTAACAGTGTCTGTCAAATATGAATAGCATAAAAAATAATTAATCTCTGGCGAGCCGGGGAAGCCGAATCATACTATGTTGATGCCTAACTTTTATACACGAGCACTGGTTGTGGCATAATAATGTATGGACATGGGGTGATATGTGGTCAAAAGTGTTCGTTTTCGCGTATAGGCAAGCAACACGTAGCTGGGGTGTTGGCTCTATGCCTCTACTACGCATTCCTCTCTTTTGGGATAATGTGTGGGTTAGCTTTCAGGCTAACTATGACATCTTAGCACATGCCACAATTTGCCAATAATTGTCCCACTATTGATATAGACTATAAATTATTTTTTTGAAGTAGCAATGTGCATACCATTTATTTGGTCAACCAAACACTTTTCTTCTGTAAGAAAAGAGGACTTTCATTAGTCCCTAGCTTGTACTACATCACCAAGGTTTTATTTTCAAATTGTAAAATCAAAGAAATACTCTACTCATTCTAAATTGTAAGTCGTTTTAGTGACCTAGGTCGAAACTCTCTAATTCTGGTTAAGTTTATATAGGAAAAAACACAAACAACTACAGCACCAAACGAAATCCATGAGATGCACCGCGGAAGTTTTTGATGATATAATATATTAAAGAAAGTGAACCAGTTTATTATTAACGGGCGCGGTGTGCCAAAGGAACCAGGATTGACAAAAAGAATCCACAAGAGAAAGTGGCAATACTTACTCCTTGATTCAAGTCTCGGCAAAGGATACATGTAGTGTCAACGTCTCTCTGTAAATGAATTGTAACATCAAACACTTTGACCAAATATTGGCTAGATTAGGCACAACTTTTAGTCATTTATACATTTGCTCTACCATTTCCTCGCTCCATCCTTCCCAGTTCCCTCAACAGTCCCCAGCGTCGCCGAAACATCTCGCCTCTGCTATTTCTACTCCAGGTGGGAGTACAGTGGCACCCTTTTCGTGGGTGCACGAGGGAGGCCTGGCCAGCCCCGGCAACCACTCCGTCCGTGACACGCGTGGCGCCTGCGGCGACGCGGCGGCAGGGTCCGGACTCCGGACGCCGCGGCCCTGGGAAACGCGCCGCGGGGTGGGGGCTGCATCGTCCGGCCGCGTATAGATTGATCATCGATCCCGTGGGCGGCGGGGCAGAAAAGCGAAGCGAGGACGTAGAGCCCCGGCGCCGGATGATGGATCGGGTGGCCGTACTACCGTGGCGACATCGGCGAGCCCGCCGCGGGGAAAAGGATTCCTCCGAGAGGACAAATAATTGAGGCCTGACGCGGGCCCCGCCGCCGTCCCGTCGCTCCTACCACGGCAATTTCTATACCCGTTCTGCCCCTGCCCATCAGCAAGCGTCGTGCAGTCAGCGTGAGCGTTTTTCCCATGGCCATGTTTAGATTGCAAAAGATTTCAACCCGATAAATAGTAACACTTTTGTTTTATTTGGTAAATATTGTCCAATCGTGAACCAACTAAGCTCAAAAGATTCATCTCGTGATTTCCAACTAAACTGTATAATTAGTTATTTTTTTTACCTACATTTAATGCTCCATACAAACAGCTAAAAATTGATGTGATGGAGAGAGTGAAAAAACTTAGAATTTGGAGGTGATCTAAACAAGGCCCAGGTCAAAAATTCAACTAAGCTAATGGTTTGTTCGGCTTGCTGAATTTTAGCTCTAGCTGAAAAATACTGGTCTGACTGAATTATTATAAGAAAAAAATACTGTTCCGACCGAAAAAAAGAAGACCGACTTCTGTTAAGCCGAACGGGGCATGTTCCTGATACGGTGAATCTTTTTTTTTTTATGAGTATACGGTGAATCTTTTAACCGCTGGATCCATTTATTCCGACGGCATCGTTGCAGCTTGGGATGCTATTTGCTACGGGGTGTAGTGACGCAACGAGCATCATTGTATTGCCATGTCGATATCATGTGTAGTCGTGTAGACCAACAACATATGCTCGATTATAAAGCATATATATAATAATATATTGCTTGAGGAATTTGCTGGAGAAAACCTCTTCCACGAAGAGTGGACTGATTAGGTCAAAGTGAAAGAGGTAAACACGTACTAGCCTACTAGGTCAGGATGGGATACCTGTGGTGAGGTTCATGATCACCCAACTCGAGAGCATGTAAGAGCATCTTTAATACTTCCTTCATTTTAAATTATAAGTTAATCGTTTTTGCTTTTCGAGATATATATATATATATATATTTTTACTATGCATCTAGTTATAGGCTATGTCTAGATACATAACGTTATATATCTAAAAAAAGGCAAAAATGATTTCTAATTTAGAAATGTTATAGAGTAACATCTAAAAAAATGAGTACTAGAAATCTGGTTTTGTAAACCTTTCTAAAAAAATATTGGGTGAGAAAAAATACACTGCACCGACGGTTCCTTTTTGTATGTCCTAAAGCAGTTTACCACGGATAAAATAATTCGCCCGAAAGTTAGAATAATAAACTATTGGAGTGGAATTTCTTTCCATCATGCCAAGCAAAAAGATCAAGAGTGGATTTACCAAACTGTTAGAGTTTCCTCCTCTAATAGTGCAAACGTGTATAAGAAGAACAAGATGTTAGGTCCTTTCACCATCTACTGCAAGGTCGAACCAATTATGTAGCCTTTTTCGTGTCCTTTCTCTTTTAATTAACCCGTGTTTCAAACTTATTGTTTTGTTCCATCATGTCTTTGGGAACAAGAGAAAGGAATTGTATATTACGGTGTCACTTTAATTCGTCTTGGTACTTAGACTAGTAATTATTGAAGATATAATTTCAGTGTGGAAAGTATACAAATCAGCACAGTATACAAAATCTTACTTCACTGTACATGCCAAAAACCCTTGATTACTTTATGGAGTTAGAAAAATGCCTTTTTAAAAGGCGAGTTAAAAATTTATTGCAAAGAATAGAAAAAGGTAGTTGTTTAACATAAAAAAAATAACAACAAATTTTGTAAGAAAAGACTTTTAAATAGACTAGGGCTAATCTATCGAAGCTCAACTCCTCCATCCTTCAGATATGTTGAAAAGGGTATCCCTCCCTTTCGATCACTTATTAGGGACGCAAGGCATGTTGTCCGCAAACACGCAAATATGCTACAATTTTGCCGGTTACCTGCAATCCCGCAAAAAAATTAAGCCTATTTGTGGGTTCGTGGATCCTTTCACTTATTATTCCTACTAGAAGTTTATGAACATGGCTGTCATAAGTCTATAGTGGGAATGAAGCGACAGGTGAAGCTCCACATCTAGATTCACCCAATATGGTACATTGTATCCCCCTTCACGCTAGAAGTTTGAGGACACATGTATTCCACACATCCTTTAGTAGTAGCGAAGCCAGTGCATGAATTCATCAATTAAATCCTTGGTGGCATATGTACCGAGTGGTCCCTCCGTGTCTTGAAAAGAATACGATTACATCGTTATTCTAAAAATAATTCAACTTTAGGTATGAAATCCTTACAAAAGATGTGCTAGTTTGAGGCAATAAATAAAATTTATAGGTGTAACTATTTGCTTTTGTTCAACCATCACACGTGAAGAATGGAAACAACAGATGTATACTTTTTTGTTGTTGTTGTGTGCATATTCCTTCAAGACATGTGATAATTGTATCTTTTTTAGACTGATGGAGTAATTATTACCTCTCAAGGAATTAGGAATGAATAGTAACTTCTTCGCAACGCTGTGTGCATATTTCGACTCTACTGATGATCCAAAGCGTGGCGGAGGTGGTATAATAATAGGAGTGAAAAAGAAAGAGCATGCGGTAAATATGGTTACAGTACACGTACCAAGTAGTACAATAATGCATGTGGCAGGCACCCGGAGGGCACCGTCGTACGACGACGACAGAGGATCCGGGTCCATTTTGACGCGGCAGCGCCCCACACCGCCACACGCCCAGCCCAGCCCAGCCCAGGCCGTACGGTAAAAAAGAGCAAAGCAAAGCAAAGTAGGCGCGCACGCATCGCCACCGCTGCCCGCTGGGGGTGTCAGGCCAGGCCAGGGGAGCTGCACGCCGCGGGGGGCAGCGGTACGAGCACGAGTGGTGGTGGGCTCGTACCACGGGTACGCGTGCCCGGTGCCCGCGACGCGCGATCGCTCTCGCAGTCGTCTCGCTCCGCCCTGCCCGCCGCCCCCACCACCCGCCCCCCCGTACGTCCGTCCCCGGCGTGGGGTGGGGCCGGCGGCACCACCACCCACTGACCCACCGCGCTCGATTTGCTCCTCCCCGTCCCGCCCTCTCGCCCGGTCGCTAATTACGCGCACCTGCCATCCGTCCGTCCGTCCGTCCACGCACACGGCGCACGCCACCCGCCCCCTGTTGCCGCGCCTGGACGCTACCCACGCGGGAGGTCCTCTTCCCCGCCCCGCTTTGCGCTGCCGCTGCTGCCTTCTCTCCGTTCGATTCCCCGCGGCCTCTCCCTCTCACACGCCTTCCTTCCAGCGCCGCAACCACGCCATCAGGGCGGGCAGCCCATTCCTCTTCCTCCTCTCCACTTCACCCCTAACCTCCGCGCTCGATTCCCGCACTACTCAGCTGGGCAGGGAAGGGATATTTTCCGCTCTGGCTCTATTTCTGGAGGGCTGCAGAGGCCGCGAGGTGACGTGACGCAGGCGACCTGGCGCGAAGACTTGCGTGAGAGGTAACTGGAATCTTTCTCCGCAACTGCTCAGCTGCTCGTCTCACCCGGCGCCTCTCTCGTATCTCGTACTGCGCCGCTGATCGGTTTGACCTCATCTGCAGATCCGTCTAGAGGTGGATCGGTGGCTGCGGCTGAGTTGGGAGAACCGGAGACCTTGAGGAGCGATGCAGAGGGAGGTGGGGCCGCAGGTGGCCCCTCCGCTCTTCCTCCACCAGATCCAGCCGATGCCTCCCCACGCCGCCGCCGCGAAGAAGCGCGGCCACCCGTGGCCCGCCGGCGGCGCCGCCGTGGCGCCCGCGGAGGCCGCCGCCGGGAACTGGAACCCCAGGCTGTGGGACTGGGACAGCCGCGCGCTCACCGCCAGGCCGTCCTCCGATGCGCTCCGCCTCGCCGGTGGCCAGCCCCAGCCGGCAGCCAAGGCGGCTGAGGCGCACCGTCCGGGGGCCGGGGGTAGCGGCGCGCTGAACCTCCAGCTCGGGCTGCGGGAGGACGCCGCGACCCCGATGGACGCCAGCCCGACGGCTCCCGCGGCGGCGTCGTCGCCGTCCCCGCCTCCTGCTTCGGCCGCGGCGGGGCAGGAGCCGGTTGTTAGGCCGAGCAAGCGCGTGCGGTCCGGATCGCCGGGGAGCGCGGGGGGAGGATCGGCGGGCGGTGGGGCTGCCAACGGTGGCGCGAGTTACCCGATGTGCCAGGTGGATGACTGCCGAGCGGATCTGACCAGCGCCAAGGATTACCACCGGAGGCACAAGGTCTGCGAAACCCACAGCAAGACCACCAAGGCGGTCGTCGCCAACCAGGCGCAGCGCTTCTGCCAGCAGTGTAGTAGGTAAATGACAGTAACTGCAGGAAACTGAGATTTGTTGTTGTGATGTTACTGCTAGGTGTCTTTTTTTTGTGATTTGATCGGTTGATATGGCGTGTGTGCTTGCTGGGCCAGAGAGATGTTTCTCTATCATGGATTCATGGTGCGGTCACGGCCGGTGTTGGTGTAGGCTGTGGGAGTTTTAGTTACTAATAAGTTGGTTCTTCTGGTCAATCGTTTAGATTTCACCCGCTCGCGGAGTTTGATGAGGGTAGAGGAGCTGCCGGCGTGGGCTTGCTGGCCACAACCGGCGGAGAAGAAAAACCCAGCCAACAGATGTTGCTTCGCAGTTGCTGCTACCTGGAAACCAAGAAAATGCAGCAAATAGGACACAGGATATTGTCAATCTAATTACAGTGATTGCACGCTTGCAAGGTACTAACTAACACTCCGTACTCAATATATTATTTGAGGACTTTGTGATTTTAATGAGTATTGCGCAATTTGTTCTGTAATGACAGGTTCTAACGTTGGTAAAGTGCCTAGCATCCCTCCCATACCAGATAAACAGAATCTGGTTGAAATTATAAGCAAAATAAATTCATTGAACAACACGACCCCTGCGGCAAAGTCTCCTCCATCAGAAGTTGTTGATTTGAATGCTTCACAAGAGCAACAAGAGCAACGGCAGGATTCTGTGGAGAAGACGACCAACGTAATCGACAAGCAAACTGTGCCATCAACCATGGACTTGCTAGGAGTTTTTTCAATTGGCCTTGCAACTTCAACACCTGAGACAAATACATCTCAGTCCCAAGGGAGCAGTGACAGCAGTGGTAATAACAAGAGCAAGAGCCATTCAACAGAGCCAGCAACTGTTGTGAATTCACATGATAAACCAACCCGTGATTTTCCTGCTGCTGGTTTCATGAGAAGCAACAGCACACACGAAAGCCGACCTCATATATACAAGCAGACAGAACAAGAGACTAGACCATACTTGTCACTGCAGCTGTTTGGCAGCACTGAGGAGGATATTCGACCTAAGATGGACTCAGTGAATAAGTACTTATCTTCTGAGAGTAGTAATCCTCTGGATGGGAGATCTCCTTCATCCTCTCCGCCTATAACCCGCAAGTTTTTCCCCATACATTCGGTTGATGAAGAGGTTCGGCACCCTCATATTACAGACTATGGGGAAGATGCTACAATGGGTGAAGTTAGCACAAGTCAGGCATGGTGTGCACCACCACTTGATCTCTTCAAGGATTCAGAGCGTCCCATCGAGAATGGATCGCCACCAAATCCTGGTTACCAGTCCTGCTATGCCTCAACATCTTGTTCAGACCATTCACCTTCAACCTCGAACTCAGATGGACAGGTAGTTTCTACGCGAAGCTTGCAATTACATTTTTTCACAACCTTTCCAAGACCTTTTACCATATTAATCATGTACCTGTATTATCTTGATTTGCCATTTTACAGGACCGGACCGGTAGGATTATTTTCAAGCTGTTTGGCAAGGAACCTAGTACAGTACCTGGGAACCTTCGTGACGATGTATGATCATTTGCTTATTTTATCAAGACACATCGCAGCCTGTTTTGCCCTGTTTTTTATGACTGTAATTTAAATTGTTGTCCTTTCTTATCTTGTGCAGATAGTAAATTGGCTCAAACACAGCCCTACTGAAATGGAGGGATACATTCGCCCTGGTTGCCTTGTACTCTCCATGTACCTATCAATGCCGGCTATTGCATGGGATGAGGTAAGTCTGACACCCAATTGGACATTATGAGATTATTACTCAGCTACAATCGCTATGTCTCATGTTGAAATTTCTGTGATGTAAATGCAGCTTGAAGAAAATCTCCTCCAGAGAGTAAACTCATTAGTTCAAAGTTCTGATTTGGATTTCTGGAGAAAAGGAAGGTTTTTAGTTCGAACCGACTCCCAGTTGGTATCGTATAAAGCGGGTATGTGCAAATTAGTCAATTGCGCGCACCATATATTTTTTTTTGTGCACCAGCTCATTGGAGAGCTTTCTTTGATGCCTGCTATTAAATATAGTAGATATATGTTGATTCATTTTGGTTGATGTCAAGGTTACTCTCTTATTTCAGGAATGACCCGTTTATCGAAATCGTGGAGAACATGGAATACCCCTGAATTGACCTTTGTGTCACCAATTGCTGTTGTTGGTGGGCGAAAGACCTCCCTCATTCTTAAAGGCCGCAATCTATCTATTCCTGGCACACAGTAAGTATTGAGTTGTAAGTATTGTTGGAATGACAATAATATCACCATCTTAATGATTTCTTGTGAACTTTGGACAATGCAGGATCCATTGTACGAGTATAGGGAAGTACATATCCAAGGAAGTTCTGTGCTCAGCATATCCAGGCACCATATATGATGATTCAGGTGTCGAGACCTTTGACTTGCCTGGACAACCAGATCTTATTCTTGGACGCTGCTTTATTGAGGTTTGTAGAATTACAAAGGCTATACTTTTATGAAAACTAGTTGTTTGCGTTGGTAAGATGATCAACACTGTCACTTTTGATGTTTGCAGGTGGAGAACAGGTTCAGGGGTAACAGCTTCCCTGTCATTGTTGCAAGTTCAAGTGTTTGCCTGGAGTTGAGAAATCTAGAAGTTGAGCTCGAGGATTCACAGGTTCTTGATGTTTCTTCGGATGGTCAGATTCATGACTCTCGGCAGTCAAAGACAAGGAATCAAGTTCTGCACTTCCTAAATGAACTTGGTTGGCTCTTTCAGAGGGCTTCTGCATGTACATTATCCTCCAGATCTGATGTGTCTGATTTGGATTTGATTCAGTTTTCAACTGCACGGTTCAAATATCTTTTACTGTTCTCTAATGAGCGTGACTGGTGCTCTCTAACTAAAACACTTCTGGAAATTCTTGCCAAGAGAAGCTTGGTTAACGAGGAACTATCAAAGGAAACTATGGAGATGCTGGCTGAGATTCATCTTCTGAACAGAGCAGTAAAAAGAAAGAGTATGAGTATGGTGCATTTGCTTGTACAGTTTGTTGTAATTTGCCCTGATAATTCCAAGGTTTACCCCTTCCTTCCAAACTTGCCTGGCCCTGGTGGTTTAACTCCGTTGCATCTTGCTGCATCCATTGAAAATGCAGAGGATATAGTCGATGCCTTGACAGACGATCCTCAACAGGTATGCTCGGTAAAATTTGATTTCTGTTTAGCTCTAAGTTATTTCACATCAACACTCCTAATTTTGCATAAATCACTGCAGATCGGTTTGACCTGTTGGCAATCAGTACTAGACGATGATGGCCAATCTCCTGAAACATATGCCAAGTTAAGGAATCATAATTCTTATAATGAGCTTGTAGCACAAAAGCTGGTGGACATGAAGAACAACCAGGTTTCTATAACGGTTAATGGCGATGACATTCATATGGAACAATTAGGGAATGTTGATGACCATAAAAAATCTGGGGTCCAGGCGTTGCAAATAAGATCTTGCTCCCAGTGTGCCATTTTGGAGTCTGGTGTGCTAAGGCAGCCTGTGCGGTCAAGGGGATTGCTTGCTCGACCTTATATTCATTCAATGCTTGCTATAGCAGCAGTCTGCGTCTGTGTCTGTGTATTCATGCGAGCTTTGCTGCGGATTAATTCTGGTAAATCCTTCAAGTGGGAGAGGCTGGACTATGGTACAATATAATATAATGGTGGGGACACCTGAGCCTTGGTATTATTAAGTTAACACGCAGTTGGTGTGGAGCTATTTTGGAGCCTTGGAGGGTATGGAGATTGTTTTAAGCTTCCTCGAAGCTCTTCCATCCATGGCTGAGTGGTACAATATAAGTGTTAATAGGTGAGGTGCTGGAGATGTTGGATGCACTACAGGGAAGTTAAAGGAAAAAAATTGGCAAAACCTGGTGCCAAAGGTGGAGCTTGAGCAGAGTTGGCACATCTCATAGAAAGGGATGTAGCAACTGTGCTCCCACAAGATGAGATGTAATCCACAAGATGGATGTAATCACAGTTCGGTGATAATGAGTAAGTAACCTTGATTTCCTTTTTTGCTGGTGTAAGCGCGACTCTTTTGGTTCAAATGTATCACAAAATGGTGTTTAATTTATCTTGCTCACTGTTTCACATTTTTTATTTTTTGTGTATTAAATACAGTACTCTAGCATGAATGTATCCTATATCGACTTTAGATAGTAGCAGGGGTAAATGAAAAGAGGCTTGCATATGTCTGTTCGGCTGGTATTAAAGCTGGCTGATAAGTCGGCTGAAGCTGATTTATTGTGAGAGAAATACCGTAGATTCTAGCTGATAACCTGGCTGATAAGTTCAAGCGAACAGAGGCAGATCTGAAGTGTACTGGGATCTTTTTGTTTATTGGACATCCACCATAAGTTCCCATTCTGAAGAAGCTTAGTTACACGTTTCTACTATATTCTTTTCTTATACCTGCCGGATGCCATCGTTATCTTGTTCATTCACACTTCCTTCTGAATCAAGTTGTGTCTGAATTCTCGCTCAAAGTTGTCAAGTATGTCTTGTTTGGAGTCTGAAATTCGTTTTCTTCAAAGAACTTTGTATCAGGGCCGCTATACTATCTGTAAACTTTTTTCCTTTATTTTTTTGTTCAAGTGGCTATTGTTATGCGAACACAGTGTCGCAACGAACTTTCTGGTGGCATTCGGGGTGGCCCTGTCACGTAAAAAACCGACGGGGCACAGCGTTGGCGGCATCGTGCGCTGTCCCTGTTGAAGGTGGAGGTGGTGGCCGGCCGGCCGGGGCGGCGTGACGCGAATGCGATGCCTTCCTTGGCTCCTTTTCGGACGCCGCCTCGTGTGGATCTCCCCGGGGACACGGCGGCGAGATTCTGGCGAGTGGCAGGCCGGCGGGGGCAGGGGGCTCCATCTCCCGCACCCACCACAGCGCGCAGGCACCTATCCATCCATCCATGCGTGATACGCACAGCTCGGAGGCAGCCACTAGCAGCACTAGCCGGCCGGCCGGCGGGAACAGCAGGCAGAGAGCACTCGCGACTCGCGAGGTGCAGGCACGCGCGCACGGCCGATTGCTCTCTCGTCCCCTGCCTTTGCTTCCCCACATGGCTGTCGGATTGGACGCGCGCTGGCCACGTTCATGAATGATGCCGATGCCGTGCCGGTGCGGTGCCAACCCCGTCGCTACAGCGACAGATGGGGTCGCCATGGCACGGCCCGTGCGCCTTCGCTCGCTTTGCGTAGCACGGGCAAAGCCGCAGCCTGCCGTCTCGTCTCTACCATCGTCAGCGCCGTCCCCGTGCAACGGACCGACGGCGACAGGTCGACGCACGGCGCCACCGCGCGTTCGTCCTTGGTGCCCACGGCTGGTGCCTGAGGCGCTGACGCTGATCCGTCACGGCACGCCTCGCGAGGGATCGGGACGGACATGGACCACGGCGACGTCGCGTTGCGTTGCGTGCGGGCAGACGGGCACGGTGAGGACATCACGAGGAGGTTAACGTGCTGCTTTTTGGGCGCGAGCGGCCGTCTCCCCGGACCCGGGCCACACGCCCACACTCTCACCGTTTCCGCCCGACAGGTGAGGCGATGTGCCGCCGAAGCGAGCCGGCCAGCACGCCCAGAGCGAGAGCCGCCGTCACGGCAGGCAAAGCAAGGCGACGGCGTGCGTGCGTCGGCGCGGCGTGAGCGTGACCCACCTCACCTCGCTGTGGAGTGGAGTGGAGTGGACGGACGAGGTGAGGCGATAGATGGGTGAGGAGGGTGAGCACAGCGACCTGGACTGGACTCGCATCTCCCTGTCACATCGCAGGCACAGCGTGTCGTACAGCCGGATAAGATAGATGGCACGGCGGGAAGCAATTGCACGGGTCAAAGGAGACGGACAGCTTCCCGGTGGTCTATCTGGATAGGGTGTCGCCGTGTTGTCGACACGTATTAGACCGGTTGATTAGGTGCTTGACCGCGCGATGGACAGCCCGGGACACGTACGGACTCAGCACAGTGGAGTACTACGTCCTGGAGAGAACGTCGATACTATTATAGTACACTGCTTGGTGCTCGTGCAGTGGTCAGATAGACAAGATAGCGGAGGCGCGTCACCATCCACCAGGCACCAGTAGTACGCTAGTACTAGTACTCCTCCCACCAGGCACCAGCGATGGTCCAGGAGGACTCCTTGTCACGATCGGCGCCGGTGCATGATGCGTGGAGACGACGCGGGCGGGGGACCGTGACGGGAGGCTCGGAGCCCAGCCGATCGAGCAGCGGGCCCCCGGGCCCGTGCGACTCGATTCGACGTGCCGCGCGACATCGAGAGCGGGGGAGGGAGGCGTGTCGTCTCGTGCTGCCTCGTGCGGGGACGCCGGGCGCGGAAGCGGGCGGTGGATGCGAGATGGGAATCACTAGAAACTACGGGCGTGAGAAGATGCTTGGCCAGTAGCGTGACTGGATGCTGCCTGTGCGGTATTTGGATGCAGTGCTGGTGAGCTGCCTGTCTCAGGCATCAGCCCTTAGGCTCAGGCGCACGAAAACGGTCGCCTAGGGTGCAGCTGCTGGCTTGCCTGGACTAATCACCCGTCTAATCACTCGTTGCCTTATTTACTGTTATTCTTTAAATTAGCTGGTACTGTGTACACGAATTTTCAAAAAAAAAAACGTATACCAATAAACCTGAACTAATCAGAAGTCCAGATTACGTTTTTTTAAAACATATTACGTTCTTCTTTTCAGTTCTCTATCAATAAATCTGCACTAGCATCATATATACAGTGTAATTATAATTATCTTTGTCCCTCGTACGTCTTTCCTCGTGACATTTTTTAAATAGCTAGAAAAACTATTAAATTTATTTGTAATTTCAAATATATTGTTAATTGATAAAATATGTGGATGGTTTTATTTATTTATTGCTTGTACATTCTAACAGTAACCGTGTATGTTTTAAAATGGTATTATATCTTTTATTAGCATTCCATGTACATGCTTCCAACCAAACGCAACATCTTCTATCTTGCCTGGCTAGGCAGATTCAATCATATTTCCAGGCAACTTCCAAGCAACACTTTTTTGCTAGGCAAGTACTCCAGACTTTCATCCAAACAGGCCTACGCGCGGCGTTGCCGTGCGCCTGCTTATGTTAGGCCAGGCGGCGATGCGCGATATGTGGGAGTATCAATGTGAAGTGCTGCTCCTAATAGATATAAAAGATTACACACACACACTGATGTATTTATTTAATGATGCAAAATATAAAAGAGGTACTGTTCATCGCAAGACTATTTTTTTACCATGTATTTTTTTTAAGGGCGGGCCTAGTGCAAGCGGGACTATTTTTTTTACCATGTATTTTTTTAAGGGTGGGCCTGGTGCAAACGGTAGAGTCTTACCACCTATAACCGGAAGGTCCTGGGTTCGAGTCGCGGTCTCCTCTGCACAGACGAGGATAAGGCTTACCACTGACACTATTCCCCGTGATTCCCGCATGAAAGCGTAAGCTCTGCATCGAAAGTACGCCCTTTATGTATTTTTTTAAATGGGAAGTTGGTAACACCATTTAGTTACCATTGCCGTTGCATTTTTTGGGGGTGGGGTTTGGGGGGGGCATTGATGAAATTTTATAGACAACAATACAAGTTTTTATGAACATCAGCTTGTCATTGGTAATATCAATCACAATGATATTCTAGAAATCATGGCATTTCAAAGGAGATAAAGAGAATATAGTCCCTCTATCCCAAATTATATACTCGTTCCGTCCCAAATTATATGTTGTTTTAACTTTTCTAGGTAATAAATAATAAAAAATGTGTATCTAAAAAAGCTAAAACAACCTATAGATTAGAACGGACGTAGTACATGGTAACATGAAACATTCAAAATCGCATGAAGAAAAATTAGTAGGATATGTAAGTTGTGCATGTCTTCAATCGTTTCTGAACTCCATATTTAGTTTATATTCAAATCACGATTACCACCTGACGCTTGTTAGAATCAGTGCAACTCTATTTGACCAATCACTTTATCCATCTCTTTGCCATAGGTAGTGCAATGTGACCAAGTTCGGATGGAGAGACGCTAGCTGAGGGTGAGCCGAGTGACCGTATCCACCACCGCCTTTGATGACTCCACCGCTGCCCCTGAATTGGCATGGAGCACAAAACTGATAAATATACCAATCATCACTGCCTGCTAGCATCAATTAGGCCATGAAAATTTCTGCCTAAATTAAGATATGGGGGATGAAATCTATGTGGTAAAAACTAAAATAAAATCAGCAAACTGAAATAATGGAATAACATCTGAATCTTCAACACATACACAGTGCTAATAATCATGTCTCAAATCTCACCCTTGTAAACACTATGAGAAAAGGCAAGGTTCATATATATATATATATATATATATATATAAACTTCTTCCTAAGAACATAACCCAGGCGACGACAATGGAATTGTCATCAACAGAGCTTGGATATATTGCAGAGTTTTATGTTGTTCCATCATCGAAATTACTTTGTGAATGTCCTAGAACTTTACTGTGATTTTGTGAAGGTCCTAGAGCTTTAAAACTAAATGGTGAGAAAAATGACAGTATAGCAGCAGTAGCATTTATACCTGCTATTATGTTGTAGATCTCACGCTTTGTGAATATGCCAACATAATAGCAGGAGTAGCATTTATATTTGTTATGCTATAGA